CGATGATTGGATTTTTCTAGATTATTTCCTAAAATTATTTAATCTTTTACGATCCCTTTAAGAACTTCTTAATTCTGGGAAGTTTTCGTTACGTGAAATTGCGTTATCTACGCGGAGACTTTATATATACATATATATATATATATATATATATAGTCAAGTAATTTTGGAAAATGTGTTCTTTCGCATTTTTTGGCTAGAAGAAATAATTTTACGCAAACCTATATCTATTTCTCTCTCTCTCTCTCTCTCTCTCTATATATATATATATATATATATTTTTTTTTTTTTTATTTATTTAACAATTTATCAATTTTTAAGCTTTCGTTAATCTATCTCAATAAAAATTAGATATAATATTATCATCAAAGTGTAAACGATTTAAAACTTGGAAAATAATAGAGACACACCAAAACAATGTGTATACCTATACGAAACTTTGGACACTCTGTATATCTGTCTGTTTAATCAATTTTTACAAATAAATAACTTTTGGATGTTTCGATGATTGCTCGGATTGTTCGGATGATGCTTTATCCATGATATTATAAACGAGGATTGAGAATCTAATTGTCCTCATGCCATCTATATATTATATTTGGTGTGCGATAAACAATGCATAATTTCAACAAATGCGTTACATACAAGGGGATTCAAACCGATTCTAATCACGAGAAAAGTTAGTTTGTCTTTTTCACGAGGACAGGTCAAGAAGTCACTAATACACTAATAAAAGAAAAATCAATCTCGGATGTACACACACATCAACGCCTGATAAGCAATCGGTAATTACCCCCTTCTGACTGTGCGGCAGAGTCGTACAAGATAAGTGTACTGTTACCGTTGTTATAGTTCAGACTATTGCTGCTGATGACATTTGTTTGGCTGTAAGACCGGCTTGGCGAGATAGGCTTTATCGTCTCCTTGACTTTATAAGGCTTGGTCCCAATTTGCGGTACTTCCGCACCCTCGATAAACAGAAACTGAAACGAAATCAACAAATCAATACTAAGTAGTGAACTGTTAAAAGAATATAAAGTATAAGTATATTCTTTAAAAACATTTCGATTATTCTGAATTATTCATAAAAATTTAATGAATGTACATAATTATTTAATAGAAACAGATGACCTTTTCAGTACATTTATTGAAATATTTCCCAAGAGAAATATTTTATTACGGGAATACCGTGTATACGATATCAAATAAAATAAAAAAATTAATCTAAACGTGGTTACCTCCACCGTGAGGGTGCCTGTAATGTCATCATCCTCGTATGGCCGTGCTTGAAGAGGTATAATTTGTCGTTGACTTGGATTCATGAGAAGTTCCTCGACGCCTACGATTCCTAGCCCCAAGAATCTTTGACTTTTGTGTACATGATCGAACACCTCCAATAACACTTCGCTCGTATTGTGACTTATATCACTGTAAATGTATATCGAAGTTTAGTCTCGCTTGTAAAATGCTATGTAAAATCTTTTTAAATCTTTAAAAATAAAATATAAAATAATATAACAATAGTAATAATAATAATAATAAAACAATATAAATGAACCACATGAATTTTACATGGACAATTACAATAAAAACGCCTCATCCCATAGCGGATTTTTCGTGTCTTTCTTTATAGAGGTTTGATTTTTTTGCGGTGGCTCATCCAACTCCACGACACAGTAAGGCTCCACGGCTCCTTGTTGACCTCCGAGGTCGATAGCCCTTACAACTTTCACGAGCAAACGCCTCTCGCCAGGCACGTATTGCATTGGAGCAGACGAGGATGCGGGATATCCTTGAAGGCGTTGATGTGGTGGCTGATGTATCATTGAATTCGAGGCATTCTACAAGCAAAGTCGTCATAGTGAGCGTTATGTGATAATAATAGCACGTGCAGATAATTTACAAGTGAGAGAAGCGTTAATTTCTACAACGGTTCTATTTTCGAAAAAAGTGATTTCGAGATTTTAAATGTAATATAAAGCTTGATACAGAATGTAAAAGAAATTTTACAAATAATATTTACAAATAAATGTAAATTTGCGATTAAATATTTAATTACATTGACACTCATGCCTGCAATTAAATGCTTTGATGTCAATAACTTACTACACCGTCGTAATGTGTAGGATATGAGAAGCCTGGCTGAGGAGGCGGCTCTCTCCATAATCGAGGACATGTGGGATATTGAGAAAGATTGAGGTGAACATTGGTGCCTCGCAGGGCACCCACCACAATTTCTGTTACCACTTCTTGCAATTGGCTTTCGTCCAAGTCTTTCTTTATTGTGCCCACCGCTGCTAGAGAGATCTTTACCTGTGTGAGAATACAGAGAATAATAAATATAATAGGTATTGTTTCATTAAAGTTCTATAAAGTTTTTTTCATTTAAGTGCTCTGACTTCTCTCCTGCAGTTGAGCTGATTTCTGTTTTGTATGACTTTTCGTAAAAAAAAAAAAAACGTTAAAAAATTTATTTAAAAAAAAAAATATATATATATATATATATATATATATATAGTATGTTTGTCTTTCACATTTGAAAAAAACGACCAAGATTATATAAACACGATGTATTGTCGCGATCGAGAACGAGTGATAAATAACTATGATCGCATAATGACGAGACGGAAGTTTCCGTGTGTTGCATCACAGGAAATCCGTCGATAATAATGTTGCACACACCTCTGGCCAACCGTCGCATTTCAGATCGACCAGCAGCTTCTCGGTGATGCAGACGACGTTTAGACGAGCGCGGAAACGATTGACATTGACTCGATAATGATTAATCTCCACCTTATCTCCTCGTTGCCGAAATGCTTTCAGCTGCAAAGCTGGAGTAGCCTCGCAGTCGCAAGTAATAGTCTAAAAAATGATTATTTTTTAAAGTGATTAATCGCTCTAATTACACATAATATCGATATTATCGAAATCATTAACTATTTAATAATTGTTCTAAACTAAAACGTTCTAAACTAAAACGTACAGAAAATAAAAATAGTTATGCACGATATAACTAAAATTCTTTATATTATGACTTTTATAATTATGACATTTGACATAGCATGAAAGACATTACAGATCAAACCTGAAAATTTCTAGAGAGAAAATTTAAATTAATTAATAAAATTGAAAGAAAGTGTTGGTATCTTAACAAAATTTCAAGTACAAAAAGCTAATGAGAGCGGGAACGGGACGTCTACGTACCACATCGTTTTTCGAATCACATTCGCAGAAGATATTTGACAAGGTTGGCGGATAAGTCTCTGGAAGTACTCGAACAAATTCGACACCAACTCCATGCTAAAACATATAAATGTCTAATTGCGACCATACCCGACGAAATACATACGCTTAGAAACGTTTGCGTCACCGCTTCTTTACTATGTGTCGAATTATTTTATTTATCATCTTTTTTATCCAACAAGCATTGCAACTGTGCAATGTATATATAATACCTCTTGTTTGCATATTTAAAAGAGCTAAAAATAATTCGTCGTATCGTGAATATATATATATATATATATATATATATAACTAAATAAAATTTGTTTCCATTAGCTTATTATATTTGTAATGAGGCAGACACGTATCGTGACTAGATTGCATTCTGGAAATGATTTGCTCGACAGGCGGAGAGAAGCTAAGACGATTAGATATTATTAAAGAGATTGAGATGATATATATA